TACAGAATTAGAGAAAATATTTGCAAACTACATACCCAACAAAGGACTAGTATCTAGAATACATAAAGAACTCTGAAAACTCAATAGTTAAAAAAAACCCCAAAAAACCAACCAAGCACTCCAATTAGAAAGTGGCAAAAGAAATGAAGAGAAAATTCACTAAACAGAATATTCGGATGGCAAGTAAGTAAATAAGATGTTCAATATTATTAACTATTAAGGCAATGCAAATTAAAACCATGAAGAGATATCACTGCACATCTATCAGAATGGTTGAAACAAAAAAAATAATAACACCAAATGCTGGCAAGGATGCAGAGAAACTAGATCACTTCTGCACGGCCAGTAGAAATGCAAAATGGTATAGTCATTGCGAAAAATAATCCTGCAGTTTCTTTTAAAGCTAAAGATGAACTTAACCATATGGCACAGCAATTGAACACTTGGGCATTTATCTCAGAGAAATGAAAACTTAACTTTCACACAGAAAACTTGCATATGAATGGTCATAGCAACTTTATTCATAAGAGCCAAACACTGAAAACTATCTAAATATCCTTCAGTGCATAAAATGGTTAAATAAATGGTAGTATATCATACAATGGAAGACTTCTCAGCAATAAAAAAGAATTACTGATACACAAAACTTGAATGAACCTCAAAGAAATTACGTTGAGTGAAACAAAGCCAATCTTCAAAGGGTGTATAAGGCATGATTCCTTTTATGTAACACCGGTGAAATAACAATTTTGAGACAGAGAACTGATTAGTGGTTGTCAGGGACTAGAGATGGAGGAGGAGGGTAAGGGAGGCTATGAAAGAGTAGCAAGAGGTAGTATCGGGGAGTTAGTAAAGTTAAATATCTTGATTGTGGTGGTGGTTACATGAGGCTACCATGTGATAAAACTACAGAGCTATATACATACACAAATGAGTGCATAAATAACTTTATATATAATGTAAATATATATTATTTGAATATAATTTGAATAAGCCCTGTGAATTTACCAGTGTTAATTTCCTGGTTATGATACTGCACTATAGCTAGGAAAGATGCTAACAATGAGGGAGGTTGGGTGAAGTGTACACAGGATGTTACTTCCTGTACACTTCTTTGCAACTTCCTATGAATCTATAATTATTTCAACATCAAATGTTTTCAGAAAAAAAAACACAAGCTACGGACTGGAAGAAAATATTTGCAAATCATGTATCTAGGGACTAGTATCTAAAATATATAAAGCAACTCTCAAAATTCAAAACGATACAATAAAAAACATGAAAGACACGCACAGACATTTCAGCAAGGAGGTTACAGAGATGGCAAATAAACACATGGAAAGATGTTCAACATCATTAACCATTAGGGAAATGCAAATTAGAACACAATGAGGTAGCACTACATATTTCATAAAAAAGTGACAACAACAAATATGCTGGCAAGGATGCATCTCATACTTTTGCCACTGAAAATGTAAAACGGTGAAGACACTCTGGAAAATAGTCAGTTGTTTTCTCAGACAAACTAAACACACACTTATACTTATGATTCAGAAATCTCACTACTGGGTATGCACCCAGAAAAAAGGAAACTTATGTCCATACGAAAGCTGTACGTGTGTGCTTAAAATAACATTATTTGTGATAGACAAAAGTTGGAAAAAAACAAAATGCCCTTCAATAGGTGAAGGGTAGAGAAACTATGACATATGCACACCATGAGATACACCATGAAACAGCAATAAAAAGTAATGGAATGCAAATTTCCAACACCAATCATAAATAAAGTCAAAAGATATTACACTAGAAAAGAGCTGCAGTTTCTTAATTCTGCAAATCAGAGGAAAAGTTCAATGAACCAATTTTTAAGTGGGCACAGTTTAAAAACAGTTCAAAGAAAAAGAAATATAACCATCTCAAACAAATAAACCTCATTCTCACTCAAGAGAAATGGAAGTTAAAACAGTCATGAGGTACAAATACTCACCTAATAATTTCAAAAGATCAAAAAGTTTAATAACACACAGTATTGCTGAAGGAATAGGGAAGAAAATACTCTGCGTTGCCACTAGGATTATGAATTAACACAAGCCTCTGGAAAGAAATTTGGCAACATCTATCAAAATCTTAAACATACATTCTACTTCTAGGAATTTATCTTACAAAAATATTGGATATATTTAGACATGTGCACAGTGATATATATCACAGAACAATTTCTGTAATGCTGTTTTTAACAGCAGGAAACTAAATGTCAATCAACAGGAGAATATTTAATAAAGCACAGCCTAATCAATTGCATACTAAGTAGATGCTAAAAAAAGAATGAGGCAAATATGACTCAGACAACCTTCTGGAAAGACATAAAAGGAACTGAAAGCAACACCGGTAGTTGAAATATAGGTTGGAGAGGGACTTCTTTTCATTAAAAACTCTTGTAACTTTTGGTTTTGTATTAAGTAAAAATGTATTACCTATTCAAAATTTTTAATTACAATAAAAAATTAAGTAATTCATGTTAGTGGGGAAATATACAAACAGATCAGGAGAACAGAGTAAGGTCTGGAAAAAACATTCAAAGCAGTCTGAGAAAATAAGAGCCTTCTCTCATATAAATAAAAATAAAATGAAGAACTAATTGAAAAAAACCCACAAATGTCAAATAGAAAATGTAGGGAATTTTTAATTTACTCATCTAGGACACAGGATAGGTCATCAAAAATCAGACAAAATCCAAAAGCCACACTGTTTAATAGAAGAAAAGCAATTAACATAAGAAATAAAGAACAAAAACCAGAGTCATCTCAACAGATGGAGGAAAAAGCATTTAAACAAATTCCAACACAATTTTGTAATCAAAAAAATTCAACAAAATGGGCATCTATGAAAAAAATTCACAGCTAATGTCATACTCACTGGTAAAAGACTAAATGCTTTCCCTCTAAAGAGGGAGATTAAGAATGTCCACTCTTCAAATTCAACAGCGTATGAAAAGAATTATATACCATGACCAAGTGGGGTTTATAGCGAAATGCTAGGATGGTTCAAAATATGAAAATTAATCAATGTAACAACTGTAATACAATGAAAAAAACCACATCATCTCATTTGAAGCAGAAAAAGTATCTGACAAAATTCAATATCCCTTCATGACAAAAGCACTCAATAAACTAAAACTAGAAGGAAATTATCTCAACATAATAAAGGCCACATATGAAAAACCCACAGCTAACATCATTCTTCAACAAGATCAGGAACAAAGTAACTCTCTATTCAACAACATACTAGAAGTCCTAGCCAGAGCAATTAGGGAAGAAAAAGAAATAAAAGGCATCCTAATTCAAAAGGACATAAAATAATCTATGTTCACAGACAATATGATTTATATGTAGAAAAACCTAAAAATCCTACAAAAAGCAATTAAACAAATCCAGGAATGTCACAAAACACAAAATTAACACTCAAAAATCATTTCTATATGCATTTCTATACAATAACAATGATCAATCTGAAAAGGAAATTAAGGAAACAATTTCATCTTCTATAGCATCAAAAAGAATGAAATACTTAGGATTAAACTTAACTAAAGAGGCAAAAGACTTAAATGCTAAAAATTACAAACACTGCTGAAAGAAATTGACACAAATAAATGGAAACACACCCAGTGCTCAAGGATTGAAACACTTAATATTGTTAAAAATGTCTTTATTACCCAAAGTGATCTGCAGATTTAATACAATCCATATCAAAATCCCAATGGCATTTTCTGCAGAAATAGAAAAAAATTATCTTAAAATTCATATGGAATTTAAAGGGACTCCAAGCAGCCAAAACAATCTTGAAAAAGAACATAATCAGAAGTCTCATATTTCCTGGTATTAAAAGATGTAACAAAGCTACAGTAATCAAAACAGTGTGGTACTGACATAAAGACAGACAAATAGATCAAGGGAACAGAAAAGAGCCCAGAAATAAACCCTTGCATATAAAGTCAAAAGGTCTTTGACAAGAGTGCTAAGACCACAAAATGAAGAAAGAACAGTCTCTTCAAAAGGTGCTGGAGAAACTGGAAATCCACATGTAAAATAATAATGTTGGACCCTTCCCTTACAGCATATACAAATATTAACTCAAAATGAATTGAAGACCTGAAACTATAAGACTGCTAGAGGAAAACATAAGGGAGATGCTTTATGATACTGGATTTGGTAATGATTTCTTAGATATGACACCAAAAGGACAGGCCAAAAAAGCAAAAATAGACACTTGGGACTACATCATGCTTAAAAACTCACACACATCAAAGGAAACAACAGAGGGAAAAGGCAACCTACAGAATGGCAGAAAATATTTGGAAATCATGTATCTGATCAGGGTTTAACATTAGAATAAATAAAAAACGCCCATAACTCAACAACAGAAAAACAACCCAATTTAAAAATGCACAAAGGACTTAAAAAGACATTCCTCTCAAGAAGATATACAAATGGCCAACAAGTGCATGAACAGATGCTCAACATCATGAATCATTAGAGAAATGCAAATCAAAAGCACAATCAGATACCACTTCAGACCAGTTACTATGACTACTATAAAAAACAGAAAATAGTGTTGGTAAAGATGTGGAGAAACTAGAACCCCCGTACACTGTTAGTGGGAATATTAAATGGTACAGACACTATAGAAAATAGTATGGTGGTTCTTCAAAACATTGAAAATAGAAGTACCACATAATCCAGCTCTCTCACATTTGGATATATATCCAGAAGAACTGAAAAGAGGATCTCAAAGAGATGTTTGCAAGAGCCGAGAGGTGGAAACAACTTAATGTCCACCTAGATTAATGGTTAACCAAGTGTGATACATGCATACAATGGAATACTAGCCTTAAAAAGGAAAGAAATCCTATCACAAGCTACAAAACAGATGAAACCGGAGGGCACTGTGTTAAGGGAAATAAGCCAGTCACAAAAAGACAAGTATCATATGTTTCCACTTACATGATGAATCTAAAGTAGTTAAATTCTTAGAAACGAAAGTGCAATGGTGGTTACCAGGAGCTGAGGGGAGGAGAAATGGGGAGTTGTTTACTGGGTACAGAGTTTCAGTTTTACAAGATAAAAAAATTCTAGAGGTCTGTTGTACAACAATGTGAATATACTTCAACACTAGTCGCACAATAATGTGGATATACTTAACACTACTGAAATGTACACTTAAAAACAGTTAAGATGAAAAATCTTTTACCACAATTTAAAAAAATTGTTAAGGAAATTATACACATCCCATTAAAAATAATTATACACCTGCAAAAGAATGAAGTACTTATGCATGCTGTAACATGGATGAACACAAAACATTATGGTAAGTGAAAGCCAGTCACTGAAGGCCATATATTCTGTGATTTATATGAAATATCTAGATTAGGCAAATCCAGAGACCGAAAGATGATTAACGGTTTTCAGGAGCTGGGAAGAGCAATGAATGGGAGTGACTGCTAATCACTACGGTGTTTCTTTTTCCAGTGATGATAATTTTTTAATTAAATAGTGGTGATAGAATCAGAACTCCATGAATATACCAAAAATCAATGAATTGT